CCAAGTGGAATGACAATACTCGTTGAGGGTTACCGCCATAAGCATGTTTCAATTCGATAGATTGTACAAATACAACGTTGTGCGAATACAGCGCATTTTGTCCGACGTTATGTTTTACATACAAATCGAGAGTAAAATCAATTGACCACTTTGTCAAGCAGTTTTGGTGTGACTTTCTACCAGCAATTTCACAAAACAGGACCAACAAATTACTATTTTTTTATGAAACACAGAAATTTCGGCTACTTTTCTCGTTATTCTAGAAGAAATTTTTTTTTATTCTTCTATTACGAAGTTCAAGTGGTAGTAAACGTCATTTTAACTGCTCGAATAAAGTGATTAATTGGCCCGTGTTGGAATTTTGGGTTTTCCACTTTGCCGTACTGCCGTTCTACGCATATCTGTCCCATGTAAATTTTGGACGTTTTGCACTTTTGTTCATAAAACAGTACTTTTTTAGGTAAACTTTTGAATGAAAATAGAAAAACATGTTATTTGTTTTGGGCTTATTTAAAAACAAAATCAAATCTAATTGTCCCATGTTGAAATTCTACGCATAACTGTCCCACAAAGAATTTGTACTGAATCTCATATTAATGAATCGATTTAAGTGCACGAATAATTGAAACAGGATTTAAATTATCAAAAAAAACTGTATGAGTCATTTCGGGACGTAGACCAGCTAAATTTATGATGAAAAATATTAAGAGAAACGGGAATTCATATTAAAACAGCAGATTATAGTTCAGACCCAGACAAACAGACATAACACTCGCCATCACATTCTTCGCAAATAAGGCTTTAGTTGGGAATGTGCTTGCATTTGTCATGGTGGCGCCACTGAAGCATTAAGGAAGCCACTGCATTTCGAACTTATCAGTGATACCAGTTATTTTTCAGCTCAATTTAGTATATGTCAGCTCTTGATAATGATAAGGGGACCAAGGGATCCCACTGGAAACTTATATAGCAATGACCCGATTTCGCCAGGCCTTTTTTTGAAAATATTTTCTAATATTCTACGTTAAATTCAACAAATTCTATAGACCTTAAAAAAATTTCGTAGAACCGACAAGACTGACTTCCATCTGTTTTGTTTTTATTCAACACCGCTGACGCGTTGACAGAACGAGGGAAAAGCAACTAGTGAAACAATTTCATGAACGAGGGACGCTCCGGTTGCTAAACAATGCTTTGGAATGTGCATGATAGAATGTGCTAGTGTGCATACACGATATATTTTGAAGAATTTTCTTCTAAGAGATATTTCTGTTTGTCTGTGGTTCAGATTTCAAACTGTGAATTATAAGAGTAATAATAATCAACTGATAAGAAGCAGTGTAATGATCTTAAAATAAACCAAAGACAAAATAACATGATTTAAAATTCAATTGTATGTACCAACGATGTATAAACATCTTCCAATATTAGCATGATTAAAAAAGTACGTATTATTGTCTAAAACAACTCGAAGTAACGCAGTTAACAATGATGACACTTTCTGTCACTTGCTGTATTCATTTATCAAGTTGATAGCTGCTACCATATTTTGTAGTTAAACCTGTTGACTGATTCAGAATATCCGTTGTCGTTTCGTCCTTTCGTAAATTTAGTCGTTAGAATGTTCTCAATATACTGCCGTGGATGCATTTGGTTGAATATAATAATACGCAGTATAAAGGACAACTCCGTACGGAAGAAATCCTTACTGTGTATGTTAACTTTTCCAAAGTCTTTCTTGAAATCATCGAAGTCCACGATCGATAATCTTATTGTGTTCTACACAGAGCATTCATCATTTGTTTCTCAAGATGCCCATACTTTAAAGGCTTCATAGATGTAGCAAACGACGATTGTAGCAATGTCAACGCATTTATTGTTGGTTTCAGTTAATGATGCAAACCTATGTGAACTATCCACTTTCAAAAAATCGCGTAGAACTCAAGCACGCTCATGTAAACACAACCACAATCGTCAAACGCAACACGGAATGTAATAGTTCTTAGTGGGACTGATATGCGTAGAATATCCTACTTCATAGTAAATTTCTCGGCATAACAGTCCCACTGAATTGTTTTCGCATAAACATAGGCTTAACTAATTTCATTGAAGGTAATTTCTGTAGTTTTCATTAAAACAAATTGATTATGTTGAAATGTAAACAATGCACTGACTCATTTTCATTAATATTTCTTCCAATGAGCAGAAATGATTCGAAACATTATTCGCGATTTTCTCAGATATTACTTTTACAATATGGGACAGATATGCGTAGAACGGCAGCGTATACGTTACTATACGAATGAATTGTATTGGTAGAAAAATATTTCGTTTGTTATAAAACCGCTTTAAAGCAGTCAAGTTGTACTTATACGTGTCATTAAAACTGGTATAATGCTAACTATATTTTCCGTGTAAAAAGCGTACTTTCCACCGCTAGGTGGCTTTCTAAAGTACATTGATTTTTTTCACTTTTCGAAGCAGAGATGAGCTTCCTTTCTTTGCCTATATGGTCTACGGATGTGTTTAGCTTATGAAATTTTTATCTAATACACAACAACAATCTACAATGCTGAAGCATATCCAGTACAGTATGAATATAACATTAGAGAACACTAAGACTAAGGTGGGAAACGGATTCGAAACTCAAATGTCATTAGCCAGATACATTTGTAGACTATATAGGTCCACCGTTATATAATTGGCGTGGCGACTCCAGTGGCCTACTGTGTTACCTGACTTATAACGAATATACGTTGTATACGAGTACCCCGAATATAAAGTATAGGGGAAATGGTTTTAATTTTCTAAGATTGAACACATCGCTAAAAAACTGCTATTTATCAATTTTATCTAGAAGACGCGTCATTGGGACGGTACTAATGTATATTTTTGGTCGCTATTGAAAACTTACTAGATTGTTGAATTTATGTATGGGCCCAAAATAGGGGCATTTAGGCCGACATTACATCCATTTCCCCTAGTTCGTCTAATTTCACATTTCACAATGCTATGCAAAATTAGATGAGTCAACACAGTAAGAAGAGTGTGAAGAGAATCCAAGCGATGCCCAGAAAGTCCAACCACGGAACTGATACATTCCTACGTGTTTGGTGACTGGACGGCAAGGGGTAATCAACTCTGCACACTGTGCCAAAACACAGTATGCTACACTGATCGGCACAGTTCGGCACTTTAAGACACACACTGACAAGTAGGACACAAAAAATATACTATAAAACGGCATCACTGTTGAGTGTTGACGTTTCGCAAATCGTTGCTAAGGTTACTTTGTTTACCTCGAAGTGAACCTAGTGTTAGAAAATTTTATTTCATACTTGAAACTTGAGACTGGTGAAACAACGATTTAACCAAGGATTTTAAAATGGAAAACGGAACACATTGTAAGCATTCTCTGAACCATGATCACTTCACAACTAGCAAAACTTAGATCAACTCATCCGATTCACAGCGAAAATACTAGCGGCTCTCATTCAGAACAGCTTCAATCCGGGCCTCACACCTACCGAGTTCTTCTTCCACACCATGGCCGGACGAGAGAGTTTTATCGATACGGCTGTCAATACGGCCGAATCGGGTTATCTCCAGCGATGGTTGGTAAAATGTCTGGTACATCTGATCGTATTGGACGATGTTACGGTTACGAAATGCATACGGGTTGGGTCTCGTGTCCATGGAAATCAACGTCAGTTTATGCATGTTCGCAATACAAATCCCTTTTGGGGCGAAAATTCTCTGAACGTAATAATATACCGACTACGCTGGGTAATGCTATGGCTATGGAGCTAACACCAATCGACCAACACGGTTTCGCCTGTGTCCGCCCGTCCGTTGCCTTTTCCGATTAATCCGCTAGGAAACACAAACAACATCAAGGATGGAAATGGATCCTATATATCAGAATGGAACTGTATACCGTAGATGCCGGAACACATATATTTTACTGTTATCCGTCTGAATTATATGATATCCTGTCGTGGGTATCCGATCTCGAAGCGCATATAAGTGCAAACAGTTGTTTACTATCCTATCGGATCCCGCGATTCCAGGTGCCAAATTCCCATAAATGAGAGTACCACAAACTAGATAAAAATAATATAAGAAAATCCTTTGTAACGTAACAAATGATTCAAAAAAACCGTGTAGTTCCTTGAAAATTCCCAGAAGTTCTTTCAAAATCACTTACACAGGAAAAAATCTTAATTTTACAATCGCGTAAAATCTCTTCTCGCATTAGTTGTCACCGAAATTGTTTACAAGCTTGCATACAACATTGCTGGTTTACGAAATATTACGCTAACATTTACATGCAATATTGTGTAAATGTACGCCAAATCTAGCGTTAATACCGTGTGTGCTATATATCGCAGTAATGTACATGAAGTTTTCAAACGGTGTAGAAGCTCCCTCCGAACTTCTCAGACCGATATGGTTCCTTGGGACTTCTTATGAATTAAATGCGATAGTACCGACTAACGCCTAATATTTCCATTTCCCAGCCATTTTCAGCTCTGAAATATTTTTTCTGAAGTCCTCAACATTTTTACTAAGTACAAATTGTCTGTACAACATATTTAAGTACAGAAAATCTTAGAAAATCAATGCGTCTAGAACTCTAAAGAAATTTAGGAGAATTCTCCAAAAAAAATTCAAGTCCGAGTAACCAGAATGGCAAGCATGTGTCAATACAATTTACGGCCAAACCTCTTGGCCCCGTTGTAAAGTGGAAGTAATAACAGAAAATTAAATGTCTGGATTAATGAGCCGTCCGGCATTGAGTGCACAAAGAAATTTTATTATACTTGCAATTAGGTTTGACGCCACTTGGTCGCACTTCACTACGCTTCGTTATATCCCCCCTAATATAGATCATTTCACGTTAATCGTAATCTAACCCGCAAATAAATAAGTTGACAGAGGGACTCGCATGAACAAATATGGGCAGGCCAAATACTCCACGTTCTAAACATTCAACTCACCTGATAATCCGCTGGTATTCTCCACTCCACCCGCACCTCCACCTCCACCACCGGGAGGCGTTTCCGACACTAAACCCGGCACTGCATCACTACCCGGCTGCTGTGTAGTCCCACTTGTCCTGTCGGTAGCACTATTTCCCGCACTTGCACCCCCAACCACGGCTGCCCCCAACCCGGGAGGAGGCGCCGGATGTGGTTGTGGACTGGTGCTCCCTTGGTGCTGCATATAAGTCACTATTAACGTCACTATTATCAACACGAGCGCACCGACCACGGTGTAGATTATACATTTGGACGAAGACCAGAGGGTCGTCATCGTCGTGGTGCACCGACGCAAGAGGTCGTTGTCCTGTTCCGCAGCAACAAAAGCAGCAGCAGCACCACCACCCTGGCAATGGTCACTGCCAGGGTCCGCAAACTCGAATCTAGTAGAACGGGGGATGATGTGAGGGGCCCGCGCGCCGGCGGAATTTCACGACCCCACGGTTTTCACGTGTCAGCGTGCATCAAGCGGCTGTTGCGAACTGAAGCAAACACCCCCGAACCGGACCGGCAAAACCCGCCTACAACTACTTGCCAGTGTGTTTGGCTTTCCACTAGTACACGATTTGCCGATGATGCTGAAAAGAAATCCAGAAGAGAAGAGAAAAAAAAATCAGACTTGAAGAACATCACTAGAAAATGACATTGAAATTTTAAATTTATACATTTTTTCCACATGTTTGATGGCGAACCGCGTGCGTGGTTTAGTGGCAGGCGCGAGGACGAGACATGTTCTAAATCTCCCACTGCTAAACATATCGGTATCTGCGTCGCGACGTCAAAACATATTACAACGCCGCGATCGAAGAATCTACAGACGAACGGAAGATGCTGAAGAGGCCGGCTTGAAAATAAATTCAAATTCTCTACGTCTACACTACTCTCACACGAGGGGCGCTCTTCAGATCAAGTGGCTGTCGTACACGCATCGGAAAAAACAATAGCAACATCACGGGCCAAGAGCGAGGAAAACCGCTTTTCCTCCTCGATGATACAAATTGGACGCGGACATCGCCGGATGGAGCGGCGCTGGCAGATGACTGATGCTGATGTGACGTCCGTCCTTATGCCTATATTTACCAAGGTGTGTGTGACACACTGAACGCTGCGAACGTGCGTGAGTGAGCTATTTTCGGCCGGAAAAAACAATGGAACCTGAGGCCAGATGAGAAAATTGCCGACGGAAACATGATTAATGATTCACAATGCTTTTAGTGCTGGTTTAGAAAAGAATGGCCACCGAGACGTGACGGTTTTACGGTGTAATGAGGTATGTAAAGGAAGCATGTAAGCACCCTGTCAGATGGAGGCGGGAACAATGTTCGCAGGTAATTTGGCGTGAATAAAGTTTGATTGTTTTAGATTAAATGATAAACAAGATTTTACCAAATGACTTGAAATTTTGAAGTGAAGAATGTTTAGTCCATAACGTATTAATTTGTTTTTAGGGGGGTCTGAAAGGTAGTTGATCTAGAGTAATGAGTAACTTATGAGAACAACATGCTGTCTTATAAATGTATACAGTCTCAAATTTGAAATCAGCGGTTAGGCAAGGAAATTTTTCCGTCATTGTTGAATCTTGGAACCAAACCAATGTTGGGGAAATGTCGGATTCGGAAATACCTTAACCTATTATCGTCAGGGGGTAAACAAAGTCCTACACACCAAAAAATTATGAATTTTACAGTCAAAGTAAAAATTTGACATCCACTGCCATTTTGGAATCCAAGATGGCGGACCAAAATCCAACATGACGGCCTCCTGACAGCGCATATGCATCTAAACTCATGCAATATGGGTATCTATAGAATGCGCTAGATGAGTAAAAGTGAAAAATCGACATCCACCGCCATTTTGGAATCCATAATGGCGGACCAAAATCCAATATGGTGGCCTCCGGATAGCTTATATGCATTTAAACCAATGCGATATGGGTATCTAAGAAATGGGTTCAATAAGTAGAAGTAGAAAATCGACATTCACCGCCATTTTGAAATCCAAGATGGTGGAACAAAATCTAAATCCATGCAATATGGGTATCTATGAAATGGGTTCAATGAGTAGAAGTGGAAAATCGTCATCCACCGCCATTTTGGGATTCCATAATGGCGGAACAAAATTCAGTATGGAGGCCTCCGGACAGCGCATATGCTGGTTGGTTGGTTGGTTGTCTTTATTAAGGAGATTTTCAGCCAGACGCTGGTTCATCTCCGGAGGCAGCGCATATGCATCTAAGCTCATACAATATGGGTATTTATGAAATGCACACCAAAAATTATGAATTTTAATGGTGATGTAAATATCCATGCATGCTAAAATTGAAGCATGTTATACTTCCTCATTACGTAAGCTAGCAACTTGCAATAAATATTGCTTACAAAGATGGATGGTTGCATAAAATATTTAGAACATTTCATTAAATGACTCATAAATTTACACGATCTGTAATGTAAATTTGTATGATATGTGACGCTCCATTTATGTGCATCATAGTGACAGAAATTTACACTACTTTTTCGAACTGTGTGGGCTCGATCACAGATCCTAATGTTTTCAAAACAACCACGGAGCTCTAGGAACCTGATCCATGGATTGATCACTTTTACGGATGTCAGGCTTCGTAGTCGTCGTAAGGTATTTTACCCACCGTATTTGGACAAAAATCAAAACACTTCACTTTACCTTTTATTGAAATTTTAGAAATTGTTCCCCGAAAAATCTTTCATTAGTCTTAAAACCAGTTTCCTATTAAAAAATAATCAAAAATTTGCGCAAAAAATAGAGTTCAATTTTTTTAATGAATAGTTGATGTTCTACGATTGTGTCAATTTTTTAAGGTTCCATAGGCTGTTTCTATGCACCACCAATGTGGAGTGTGCTAGGCGATTATGAGAGGAATCGTCAACCAAACCATTTGTTTACTTAAAAATTGCAATGTTTACATCTCAAATTAACGCATATTGTTATCCGTATCTTGCATATTTTTCATCGGGAGGGGTCTTATTTTATTTTATTTTATTTTTTCACATATTTGAACGGATTTACAGCTCAAATAACACCACATTAAAAAAATTGGAAGATCATAACCGCTGGGGCAGATTTATAAATCTTCATTTCAAAAATATGTGGAAGATCACGCCGGATCTCTATAAAATCGATACAAAAAGCAGAATATTCCTTGTTGATGATGATTTCAAGCACCTGCGTGTGAGTAGATTTGTATACAGCTTTCGGGACCGCTGCTTTGCTGACGTGTTTTGTTTGTAATCTCAGTTCGCCACCTTCACCTTCTTAAACGTCGACAACCCGGCTCGTTGTTTGGCCCGCTGCACAGTAGTATGGAAGACATTGAGCTTGCCAGCGACGTCCCGGATGAAGAGGTTAGGATTCCGCTTATATTTCACCGCCACCTTCTTCGTCGTCGCTGCCACGTCCGAATTACGATGGCCGCCCCTTCCAGGCTTCCTGGCGATCGACAGACGCTCCCCGAACACTTTTAAAACGTTTGTTACGGTCGATTTGGCCACATCCAGAAATTTTGCCAACTTGGCATTTGAGAACGTCGGATTCTCTTGCTGCGCGAGCAAAATTTTGACACGCTGCTCCTCTTGCTCCATTTTAAAAATAGAGAGCAAACGGTGAAAACTCATCATAGCAACCATTGTATATACACTCAACTTTCAAATGCAGCATTTTTTTTGCAGGTTTTTTTTATGCATATTTAACAGAAATACACCAACTTGAAGTTGATCAATTTTTGCGCGTTCCAGACTTTAGATCCGTTTTTCTTCGTACAGATATTAAATGACTCAAGCTTTAGCCTGACATATATAAGAGGTGAAATACCAAAGCATAATTCCAAAAAAATCCATCAATCACATTCCAATACCAAATTAAGCAAATTCTATACCAAAACAATACCATCCAGGTATTCTTTTGGTATTCAAATATCAATTTTTGTTATTTACAAAGTATTTAGCATGCAATTTTTTTTTGTATTTTTTTTGGGTATTTTACCACTTATGTCAGGCTGATCAACGTCAGATTCTGGTCTCTCGATAGGGTTTTTGATCTAATTCCCGTCCTACTAAGCACAACCCGTACTTTACCTCTCTTTTCTGAACGGGTTTGAACAAAAAATTGAATATGTATATCAAAGATGACTTCTAAATTTATTCACCTTTCCATACGTACCGTTGGATTTGATAAAGAGTCACAAATTGTTGAGATATTGTTTAAAATCTAACACTGCTTCTTGATGCTAAATTCGTCTTACGAGTTTCAATTCCGTCTTAACGCATTGAAACGCATTTAGATTTTCTTCGTCCTACGGATAAACGTAGAAAAAGGGGATTCGCTAGGAGCGCTTCTTTTGTTTTGAGAACATGAGCGTAAATATTCATACAATGCGCTCTAATAGGATTTATGTTGTAGCTAATGAACTGACGCATCGGAACAAAGCTATTTCTGATTTGTGCATGGTGAAATCATTGTTATTAGTGATCTTTTCTGATCGATAGAACGGAAATGGGCGATTACGACGAAGTAGTGCTCTACCCTATGTTTTCCGATCTGAGTACCAATGCTTCCAACGCCAGAAAGGTAGCTACCACCCTGGACCCTACCTATCCGACCCATCAGCTCATGGACCGAGGACCAACGGCTTTACTTCCCTTCCGAAAGAAGGCGTGATCAGAGATTTTATGCCTCAGAAAATCCCGATGGCGCCGACTGGGATTAAACCCAGGCTCATTGGGGTGAGAGGCAATCACGCTTTTAACTACACCACCGGCGCCGCTCCAAATTTTGGTATCTATAACATAATTAGGTACTCGTTAGTTGTCTCCTGCTCGAGTGATGTAGAGTTAATTTGTGTATATCAAGAAGCAAAGTCTATAACTTTACTCTTCAAAGTATAATAAACAGTTACTCTTCAAAGTATAATAAACAAAATTGTAACCAGTTGTTTGGAAAATACACGTTTTGTTAAACCTAAATCAGTAGACACACACAAGAGCGAGAGGGTTTGTGCCGCTGCAAACAACAACGTAACGTTACTGAAGGGAGGTATATCTTGGCTTTAAAATAACAATGGATGCGCAAATTGGATGATGAATAGCTAGCCATCTTAGATTTGGAAGATTAGGCAGAAGTAACCAGGCGTCCGTGTAGACCAGTTGAGTGTTAAGTGTAGTGTATATATAATACAACACCCCCCCCACTTGTGGGGTTTAAGCTGGAAAGCCTACCTCCGTTCAGGTAATTGATTTTTATTATACTGACGGAAATTTCCCTGACTGAATTGTGATAATTCTCAGGACCTCTTGTGCTTTTGTACATTTTGTACACCTCGTACCGTAAATAAAACGGTTTTACACGGCTCGGCTCGGAAGTCAAGATGGCTTCCGAGCCTAATAGTAAATGATCCTCGATCGTCCGTCAGGGACGATTCCCTCAGGCCAGTGGCCTTAATTTCCAAGGAGGGTCCCGTCTCGGCTCGACCAAGGCGGCCATGCCACGGTCAGCCAATTTTGTCAACGACGGAAGACGCCTGCCAGCCAAACGAGCCAGCAACGCC